CCAACACTTATGTCTTGATGTTACATAAAAATGAAAGAAAACGAGACAAATAAGATTTCTTGCCTTCAACTATCTGTGAAAATTGTTAATATGATACATACGTTACCGATATATACATGGCCAAATAATATGAAGGTGTTGTTTTCTGATTCCATAGATTGTTTTCTGTTGTCACGGCTTTGTTAGTGTGTGCGACTTTGTACATGTATATGTGCGCACGTTTGTACGTCGTTCATTCTGTTTGTTACGTCAATATGATACATAGGCTACCGATACGTACGTTACCATGAAGCGTGTAAATATTTATTTATTCTATTTTCATTGGTTTTCTTTCGTTTTGTGGGACAGCACTTACGTCTTAATGCTACATCAAAATGAAAGAAAATGAGACAAATAAGATTTCTTGCCTTCAACTATCTGTGAAAATTGTACATTTGATTCATACGTTATATAGATATATATGTACGTGACCAAATGTCACGACTTAGTGAGTGGGTGTGACTTTGTAGGCCTATATGTTCGCTTTTTGTTATACGGCCCTCATTCTTATTTGTATAGTTAATATGATACATATACGTTACCAAATAACGTGAAGGTATTGTTTTCTGACTTCATTGTTTGTTCTCTGTTGTCGCGACTCTGTGGTTGCGTGCGACGTTGTATATGTGCGCACGCTTGTTTTTACGTCGCTTATTCTTCTTTGTTACGTTAAAATGATACATACGTTACCGATACATACGTTACCATGAAGCGTGTAAATATTTATTCTATTTTCATTGGTTTTCTTTCGCTTTGTGGGCCAACACTTATGTCTTTCATTTGTGTTTCATTAAAATAGTGTTGGCGCACAAAAGGAGAGACAACCAATGAAAATAGAATAAAAAATATTTTCACGCTTTACTTTTGGAAGTAAAAGAATCATATTAGAAACTATCACTACATTTTCTTTTTATCATTTTATTTTTATTCATCTTAGTATTGCCAATGACATATCTACTAGTGCCTTAATTTAGGACTCATTCCCAATGACACTATTGGTCTATGTAAATCGATCCAGCTCCACAGGGACTCTTGCTGAATGCAATCAGATTGGCTCGCCTCCTTTTGTTTATAACATGCTTGTTTTCCATTTTCTACTCAAAGCTAGGGGGTGGTATGCTAATCTCTTAATCTGATTACATTCAGCAAGAGTCCCCCTGAATTGATCTACCTAGACAGATAAAGCACTGAATGCACTCTTATTTTTATTGGGACTGAGTTCTTAGACCTAAATATTCTTACACAGTCATATAAATAAAACAACAACAACAACACATAATAATAATATAATTTAATATTTATTTAAAATAAAAAGTTGGTTGGTACATTTATTATGTTGAAATGATAATTCTAAGAAAAACAAAGGTCAAATATATGTTCAAAAAGTGCATTAAAATTGAAAGTTATGAATACAGTTGATGAAATCATATAATTACCTAACATAATATGTAAGCATGAAAAATAATGACATAAACTGCATTGTAGACTTTACATTTAATTTTCAGACTTACAAAACTGTATTTGTACAACATCTGCACAGTACTTTTTAATTACATTTGTGCATTAAAAAGTAAAGGTATACGAGTCTGAAATTTTCTTAGTATTTAATTTCTCTTTCTCCCTTCTCTTTATCTATGCCTCTATAATTTCAGCCCACTTTCTCTTAAATAAAATTCTGCACTAATGAGCTTAATTAAATAAATAAACATTCTGTGATTACAAGGAGCTCCAGAATTACCAGGTGGGAATTTACTAGGTACCAGTACTTTTATAACAGGCATTAACAAGGTGATGATTCAGTCATCATTCTGACTTGCTTTACCCAGTATTAGTTTATTAGTACTACTTTAGGCAAGTTAACTCAATACATAACTTTGGATATTTAAGATAAGAAAAAAAATTGTCTTTTCATTCAACTTTATTTTAAAAAATGTACATAAGATTACAAAGTAAGCAACAAAAGTAATAATAAGTACTCATCTTTTATTAAGACTACAATGACATCACAACAGTACTGTACATATTAGTATAAAAGCTTCAATATATTTATTGCCAAAATTAGCTAAATTCTTTATTTTAAAGAAATGATAATGAAATGATTTTCTCCATATTACTTATACAAAATTGCTGCAGACATGTTTTATACTTAATTATCCTTGGGCAAACCATAAGATGAGCACTAACATAAGACTAGACAGCAAAGCTGGCAAAATATACAGACACAAAACATGTTGCAACAAGAGTTTAATAGATTTTTTCTGTGACAGCACCAAATATATATAAATATGGGCCAAGGCCTATGGGTTTGCAAATTCACCAGTTTTACCATTAGTTATATAATAGTATTTTTCAATACTTATAAAACTGTACATGTGTATTTGTAAAAATAATCAAATCCTGCTAATTTTAAATTCAAGCAGCCTTTTTACTAAACAAAGCCACTCTGCATATTTGGTGTAAAACAAAATATACATGCAAAAATAAAATAAATAAATAAATTATGTATTTTTAAAAATTTTCACTAAGTCAAAGTGTGTGTGTGTGTGTGGGGGGGGGGGGGGAGAGGAAAAGGACACACAGCACACANTCCTGATATCAGGGAGAAAAAAGAAATGGTTGGAGCCTGCTACACAAACCTTGACTGCATTGAGACAAATCATCTCCAACAAAAATTTTCAGAAGGAAGGACATTATGTCAGGAAAAAATATTTTCCCCAAATAAAGGTCAGGAGATAATATAATATATGCAACATGTCTGTATTATAGGGAAAAGTTTTTAATAAAAAAGGAGGGGGGGGGGGACAATGGATGACTTCACAAACTTATTTTTTCTTTCAGACACATAAGAAACAATGTATCAACTCTCATCTCAAAGGAATTCTTATAAGTCCCCAGCATACAGGCCTTGTAATTATCTGGTAGCCATTGTTTTTCAAAGCCACAAAGACAAACCAGCTGCAGTTGACTTTCAATCAGCTGAAATATGGTTATTTGCACACCAGTATGTCACATATGTCCTAGTAATAGAGCTGTAGTGGTGTTTGATGGTTATTTGTACACCAGTATGTCACATATGTCCTAGTAATAGAGCTGTAGTGGTGTTTGATGGTTATCTTCATGGCCCCTCTACTAAGGATTCTACACAACTAAGAAGGTCCAACAGTATGAGCACAGCTGTCATGTTCACTGGTGAGATGAAGCTGCAAAGTAGAAAGGAAGAATTTCTTGCCAACAAAGAAAACAAACAGAGGTTCATTAATTTCCTTGGTGACAAGTTGGAAAGTGTTGGAGTTCAAGTAAACCAAGCTTCAGGCAATGCAGACCTCCATATTGCCAAAGCTGCAGTTGCCTCTTCAGACAAACATGATATAATACTATCCTTGCGGGTGATGACACTGATCTTCTGGTGCTCCTAGTCCTACTGTATCATGCCAAGGACAAAGTTTACCAATTTTTTTAAAACCCCAACAAAAGAGCAATGCCAAAGGACCATCAAAATGCTGGAACATTAGAACAAGAAGGGCCAAGTTAGGAAGTGATGTATGCAACAGTATTCTCTTCATCCATTCCATCTTAGGATGTGACACAACATCATTTCCCTTTGGGATAGGAAAACGGGTATCTCTAATGGGCATGAGAAGTCCTTTTTTCAAACAGCAGGCAATCACATTTGCCAGTGACAATTCATGTCAAGAAAGGATTATTGAGGTTGTGAAAAGGCACTAGTGTCTTTATATGGTGGCGAGGAAGGTGAAGCTATTAATGGCCTTCGACTACAACGCTTTTGTGAATAAACCTACTGTAAAACATCACCTGTGTTAGAATAGAGTAAAACACTTTGATAAAGCTCTCACCACCAAGATGTGCGCCTTCTTGTATCAGCTATCACATGTTAACGGACCGTGGTATTAAATGTGACCATCAGCATGTGTTTCTTGCCATGCCTCACCGAGCACATAATTAACTTCATTTAGCTGTAGTACTGGAAACATCACAGCATGTTAGTGTTTTCATTTTAACCAGCAACCTGTACTACATTACCCTGCCCAAGAATGCTTATCTATGTAACTGTCCAGGGCTCAACAATAAGGATTTCCTGATTGCCTGGAGCAAGTAGACATTGATGTCGGGCAAGTCCACTCACCTGAATGCTTGCCTGATTGGGCAAGTGTCAAAATAAAGTAAAAGAATGGATATTTAATTTCATAAAATCGTGAAATCTCCATAAATAGGTCAATTGGCTGTACACAGGAATGCTGATCTCCAAATTATAATGGCTTATTTTAATGAGTTGCTGCAGAGACTTGGGTATGACCAGAACCCAAGAGGCCAGCACTTAAAGCTTTGGTAATGAACAGAGTAAATGTGAGGGTAGACGTAATGCTGCACACATCCAGGATACATGGGCCATGTTGTTTACAGATAAAGAATTACAGAGAAGATTCAGTAACATCAGTATGGTATTAGAAATTTTTTTAGTGACTGCCATGTCTTCAGCAGTCTGTGAATGTGGATTCAGTGAAGTGAAGAGAATGAAAACAGTTTCATAAAGGACGTTTAGCACTAACCAGTGTATAAGCCTAACCAGTGGATAAATTCTCCTATGAAACACAATTTTAAACATAAACAGTGTTTAAACAGCTGGTTAGTTAACTGACCTTTAAATATTTTATGCAGCTATACACTGGCCAGTTAACTAATCGGCTGTTTAAACAGTTTAGGATCGCATTCACAACTAGTTGAGCCAGGCTTTACAAATCCTGGGGACTAAATATGGCAGACGTACATGAAAGAAAAACCACACGCCTCCCCATGTGTCGTTCCAATAGAGCCGATATTTAATGACTGTCCCCCTGCAGGGGAGGTGTGTGAGAGGCGGAGAGACTATTAAAAGATTAGGCGGTTTTTCTTTCATGTACGTCTGCCATATTTAGTCCCCAGGATTTGTAAAGCCTGGCTCAACTCGTTGTGAATGCGATCTAGGAAACACAATGTCCTTTATGAAACTAGGCCCAGCCTGTTAGATAACCTTCTTCTCATTTCCACTGAGGGTGAATCATATGAGGCATTTGATGCAGATAAGCTGTATGACAGGTGGCTGCATGGAGGCCAGAGACGCCATCACGTCAATGATGATTGTGACGGGTGACTCTTCTAGAAGCTGGGCACATGGCTGAAAAAGTTATTACAGAGCCCTGTATGGTGAGAGATATTGTACTTTTAATGCATTGTTAAACTTAAGTTTTGATCTTAACTAAGTTTGTCACTGAAGGTATTTCATCAGCATCATGTCACATTTGGATATTTGTGCTTAGCATAAGTCTGTATAGGATTATCACTGGATCTTCAAGAGGTACCACAAATAACTATTTTGCAATAACATTCCAAAACCATTGCATAGTATTGCAGGCTAATATTTTATTTATTGTTAGCTTCTTTTGTTGAACTCTTTTCTCAACTTTTCACAGGAAGAAAGTACCAAGGATTTAATGGTGAAAGGAAAGCCAGCAAAACTGAGAAGTATTTTGGTTCCAGATACCACAGACACCATACCTGTCAGTCTCTGGCGTGATGACTCCAGTTCACCTGTAAAAGTTGGCAACTGTGTAGAATTTAAATACCGCATCAGTTTTAATTCATTTGAAGAAAGACTGGTCTGTCACATCAATGGCAGCAGAGATGTGGAGGTAACTGACTGTTAATTTTTGTGTTAATTCATAATAAACAGTCTCTATCAGTGGGCGATGTCGGTGTCAGAAACAACAGAACTGCCGTCTCGGTTCCAAAATCAGAAAAGTTACTTTATTCAATTTGAATCAGATATTTATTATAGATTACTAGCCAAAATAACATTTTGTCACGTGTCAGCGACGGTTTACCCTACCCCCCTCCCGTTTTTTAACTCTTTCGAAGCAGAACGATTTTTACCTGCAGCATGTATATAAGCTGGGCAGTTTTACTGCTCAGTCTATTCTTCTACAGCAGCGGCCCACCTCGTCTCAGCGGCACACGGCACGATCTACCGATTCACGGCTCTGTAGCTACTCGTCTCAGCAGCCCACGGCATGATCTACCTACCCACGGCTCTGCAGCTACTCGTCTCAGCTGCCTATGGCACGATCTACCGAGCTACGGCTCTGCAGCTGCTCCTCTCAGCGGCCCACGGCACGATCTACCGACCCACAGCTCTGCAGCTACTCGTCTCAGCGGCCCATGGCACGATCTACCGACCCACGGCTCTGCAGCTACTAGTCTTAGCGGCCCACGGCACGGCACGACATCTACCGACCCACGGCACGGGACGACATCTACCGACCCACGGCTCTGCAGCTACTCGTCTCAGTGGCCCACTGCACGATCTACCGACCCATGGCTCTGCAGCTACTCGTCTCAGCGGCCCATGGCACGATCTACCGACCCACGGCTCTGCAGCTACTAGTCTTAGCGGCCCATGGGACGATCTACCGACCCACGGCTCTGCAGCTACTCGTCTCAGCGGCCCACAGCACGATCTATCGACCAACGGCTCTACAGCTATTCGTTTCAGTAGCAGCACGGTCTACCGTTTCACGGCTTAGCAGTACCTCGTCTACTTCAGTGACTTAACGATATCAATTTTTCGGAGTTTTTTGTCTATTTTATTCAACATTTTCTGTACAGTTTTTTTCGTCATATTAAAATTATTTATTTATTGATTTCCACTCTTGTTGTTTTTTAATCTTCAAAATATCCTCAACAGTCACGTTTATCTCTTTTACTTTCCTTTGAGAAACTCTGGAAGATAACTTTCACACACCTAATGCATGCCAGCACATCTTTTACTTTTGACTTCATTCAAGTACGTGTGAATACAATACTTCCACAGTCCCTCAGCTTTGCACCCAAATAAACCTTATCATATCTCTATAATCTTGAACAAGTTATTTCTATAACAACATTTCAATATCACCATATATGCATCCATTCATAAATTTTACGTCAAACTAAAACGTGAAAATATGTCAATACCCACTTCTAATTGCTAAGAAATGATGTTGAAAAAATCTGTGCTGGAGTTTCATGAAAAGGGGCAGGACATAGTAAGCTTGTTGCCTTTTTAAGTAGTATGCTGACAGTACATAAAGACAAATAACCAATATTTGTGCTCTCTTGGCCATTGTGATGGTCCTTCCAGTCAGCAGTGCCGATGCAGAAAGGGGCTTTTCTCTAATGAATAAAAACGGATTGGAGAGCCTCACTTACACCACCTTCTTTAACAAATCACATGACAATTAAGTAAAATAAAATTGGACTAGTTTGTGCCAGATTCTGCCTGTGGAAAATGGTTTGCAGATGATAGGAGAACCCTGGATCCACAGAAATATGCCAGAAAGGCATAGAGCTGTGCTAACATTGCAGCAGATGGCGCAAAAGGCTTAAGGGCTTTCAGAGAACAGTGTGATTTTTGGCAGATCAAAGGGTTCATTTCTGCTAATCAATGTCAAAGGTTGAAGAATGATTTATCAACAAGTCTGCATTATCTGAAGACACAGAATAAAAAGTGAGCCTGAAGAGAGAAGACATGCCCTGACCACTGTATCACAGGGCTCCTCAGTTTTCTGTGCAGAATATTTTCACCTTCACAACACAGTATCCACACTGTTTACTCCTACAAAATACAATCCTTCAACTGATGGAATGTGGAGATGGTGATGGGTTTGTAGAACAAACATTACAGATGTCAGTAGAGAAAATATATGACTAGAAAAGACATATAATCAGGACAATTAATTAGGATCAAGCCATGTAGACCTTCCCAAAACAAAGAGAACATAGATGATGATGGTTTTAGTACTCTAGATTTTAGTTGCTCCGTAGTATTTTTGCATAATCTGTGCTGCTTTTAATAATTATAATAATAATAACAACAACAACACCAAAGTATGCACATTACTAGCACATGAAACAGAACTGAATAGTTTAATATTGGGTAATAAAAACTGAAAATAGATTTCCTGATTTAGAGCTACCAACAGACATTACTAGCCCAAGAGAGGATTACCGTTCTACCAGTATACCTTGTTGCCCTTCTCCTGTTCTTCCTTTGCCACCTACAGTTACCAAGGGTGAGCCAAAGACACATAAAAGATGTTTATCAGGTATAGCAACTTATAACGGTAATGTTTAAATAATTTGTATTAATATTATTTGTATAAAAGGACAAATGTAGATTTAATTAGATACATGTATCCTGAATTGGCAAATATACATTAAGAAGCATTCATTTTAATATGTGTCGTCACCAGATTGTGCATTTTTCTGGATATAGGTTAGACTGAAATTTTCATCTTATAATTGAAGAATTGTCTTGAGCAATGAATCTGTACTTTGCAATTTAAAATGTGAACTACATATCTATCATCTCCAAATGTTTATCTAATGTTGCCATAGTATGGCTGAAATACCCTTTTTGAATAAAAAAAATATATTTATAATGATTACTTTTTCTAACCTGACTAAAGACAGATTTTAGAGTAAAAATTTCCTCTAAAATCCTTTTAGAGAAGGGACATAATCTTGCCTGCTGATGTTATATATAAATATATACATATATAACCCATATTGTAAAAGGCTAACATCCTACACCTACTTATCATTTGATTTTATATTGCAATCTCAGATAACAGAAAATATATGTACCAACTGTGAGAGTGAGGGTGTGGTTGAGTACCAGCTGAAATCCCTTTCAGGGTATTGCAACCATCCCATATCAGCTATAGACAATGATAGGACACAAAATGAAGATGAAAATCTCACTGTTAGAGGTGTCAGGCTAACCAAAGGGGACATAAATACACTGTTAGGAAATGGATGGCTGAATGACAGACATATTTTAGCGGCGCAAAGACTAATCAAATTGGAATTTCCTTTGTTGTGGGGGGCTTTTAGATACACTCCTCTTGGACT